AAGCATATATTTTCTAATTGTTTTTTGAACAAACTTAATCTTGGGAGGATCTAACATCTTCCACTATCTCCACTTAGCCATAATTAAAATCGTCATATTTGCATCCATATCATTGCGTCATATAACAAAATGTGCATGGGCTCCACTGAGCCCAATTGGCATTATTAAGTTTATGATAAAAAAAAATTCTACGTGTATAATGTGTGGCACAAAACACATCCCCTTACAAGACTTTAATATAATAAAACAACCCTTTAATTACATTCAAACAAGAGCCTACTACAATCTAATCAAAATAATAATGGGGATGTCGTGCTTCACATTATACGCTGCAGAATAATTCTTCACACAAACATAAGCTTATAAATAAATAATGCCAATTTTTAATCAACCATCTATTTATTCTAAAACTAGAATGCTAGCAAATAAAAATAATACCAATAGGTCTTTTTAAATAGATGGTTGTGTCACACTCACCCTCGTAGGAAGCAGGATTCATAGTCTTATGGTGATGACCTTTAATTTCATTTTTGATGGCATTTAATTACACTCAATTAGTCAAAAATACCACATAATTCATTCATTACCAAGAATAGTCATTTCACGATGCAAAAATATTTTCTAGGATTCTTCCTCCACTTGAAAAATACTAGAGGGTCACAAACGGTATAAAATCGTATGTACTCATTTTTAATTATTTTTAGGTCCAAAAGATATCCAAAAATACCAAATAACAAAAGAAAATTCGCACAATTTTAATACAAACCGAAAATAGTGGCTATGACTCATGTCCTACATCTTTATGTCAATAATATTCCTCTAGAATTTTTATTAAAATTTCAAACATAAATTCAAAAAGAGTTTTAATTTGTAAAATAAACAAAAAAAAATTTCAGCAATATATTTGTAGTTTAAAAAATTATATAGAGGTCTATAAATGTGTGATTAAACATATAGCCTACTAGTTTTGCCTTATGAACTTGACATGTATTATTGCAATTCAAAAAACATTAAGCTGCGTGCTGCCTCACAAGCACACGCGCACTGTTCTTTGCAAATTTCATGATTCAACTTCAGCTTTGCGCGATACAAATTTGTGCATTAATTTCTTCCAATTTACTCAATGAAAAAATATGTACGACATACCGTTGCGAAGCCTATATAACGAAGGTTCATCTTGTATAAATAGTTTGCATAAAAAATCACATTTTACAGTCCAAAACATGATCCATAGTTTGGAAGATATCATAAAATTCGTGAGACGCGAAACTTAAATTTGATTTTTTTTGCAAACCACTTAACGAAACTTCATCAAATTTTACATGTGATATTTTGAAAAAATTTGGAACAAATCCACCAAAAAATTTGGTCCAAAACCTCGTCACAAAACTAGACCTTTTTTGTATGTTAATGATTATTCCTGATCATGAATTGAAAAAATAAATATACGTCATATGTTCAAGGATGACATATTATGGCGAATCAACAAATAAATCATGCTCTGATACTAATATTGACATTTAATTACACATAACAAATAATGGGTTTTCGATGTACCTCTTGAAGAACCCAAAAAACAATAACCGGATTGTCACTTATTGGTATGAGCCCGGATGTGCCAAACTTGAACCACGATCTTGTTTCTTCCTTGCACACCAAAATCTTGTCAAGGCAAAGGAGTGACTACTAGGGTTCTTTCTTATAATCTCATGTTTACAAATCCAAAGGCCATTGGTGATAGCCCAAGATAGATAATGTGTATAGAGAGATGAGAGAGATGTTTCACACGTTTAAAATGTTTAGTGACATATCACTAATGCTATTGGGACATAATTGAAGGACATAATTTGGAGATATAATGAGTTGTCACCAATGAAATGATAGTGAAATGTATTTAATGATGGGTCCCATTGTAGCATTAATGAATTCATTATTGTATCATTGGTGACAACTCATTATATTCTCAAATTATGTCCATAAATTATGTCTCAATAGCATTGCCCGTGACATATATACTTATAGGTGGTTGTAACCACTTAGATAAGCATAATTCTATGATCTCCTAAACTAATTAGGAGATAGTGATATATCTCTTATAATCTCCTAAGCTGATTAGGAGATATAGATATATCTCCCATAATCTCCTAAACTAATTAGGAGATAGACACGTCCCTAACCAACCACCAATGACCAGGTCAAGCCCAATTGTCCCATGTGGGCGGATCAAGGTTCAAGTTCGGGTTCAAATATTGATTCATAAAATACTAACAATATACATAAAAAAAAACATTTTCAATTACAATCGATAAGAAGTTGTCATGCAGTGCTTTCAAAATAAGAAAAATCATCTATGTCAATTGTAAATAACTATAATCAATCTCATTTTTGTGTAAATGAGTCTAATTATAACTTTTTGTAGATTTTTTTCACGTCTACATCTCATGTATATCAGCTTTTGTCCCTTTTTGTTAATGTAAGATTAAAAAATTTATGTGTCATTTACTTTAATGGTAGGAATCCAAAAATTAAAGCCTTATAGTTAGTGCCCACCCAAATTTAAATTCATGGCTCCGTCTCTGGGTCCAGTTATTAACTCATGAAATTAGGTCAATTTTTTTATGTATAAATAATATTATTCTAATTAAAATAATGATAGTTTGGATGGAACAACAATAAACAAATACTATCTTGGAAATTGAAGTTTGAATCCCATAAGGAGAGGGGGGGGGGGTAATGATATTATTCAAATATCATGGATTTGGCTACTCTTGAATTCGAAAATAATTAATGCATTAGATGGTTAGTCATTGTCAACAACCTAAAACTGAAGCATTAACTGTTAATCCCTATTATATTTTCATCGGCAATACGCCGGCGAATGAACTCAACCAACCAATTAAGTCCACTCGTCCAAGCATGATTTGCATTCCTTTTCTTTATTTTTTTTTGTATTTTAAAATTTTTTTTGCTTAATTATTTGTATATTACTCAATTTTAAGTATTTTACATGAAAATTTCATACTCAATTTTCACATTACAATTTTTATAAGTGATTAAGGGTATAATTTAAAATTTAAAATCTTTCAAGATGCGAGCCCTTACCGTGCTTCTTGTTGTGAGCCCAAAATGCAGCACATTGTGCTGCCATAACTTCAGCTACAAGGGGTTCTTCCTTTAAGTGAAACCTTGTTTGAGCTTCAATCACATTTCCATCTGAGTCTCTGGCAGTAGTCGCAACACAGGTTCGTGTGTCCCCTATGGCTGCATCGAAGTTAATCTTAATTTCTCCCTCCATGGGGTGCTGCTATTTATGGATCTGTTAGTTCTTCTCTATTTGTCTATGAAACATATCACATGTTACGGTTTGCAAATGGGGACTCCACACAAAACACTTCAGTCTCTTTAGCATGCACCATTGGTTAAATAAGGTAAAAGAAAATGATAAAAACAAGCTTTAGTCCTTGATACAAATTTATAACAAACGAAGTGGAACTCAATTCAAGTAAGATTCAAATCTTTAAACGCTGCATTTAATAAACGGTAATACTCTTCAGTAGGAATAGAATGAATTTCAGAATTGAATGAATCTAGAAGAGAAATGATCAGGTTTTTTTGACACTGTCTTTTTTTAACGGGCGTTGATTATGGTGTGGAATGAGAATCACAAATACCATATTAGATTTAGTAATGACTAATCCCATAATTGGTGGGACTAGCTATTCCTTAGGAATAGGAATGAATTTTAATTCCCACCAACCAAACATAGGAATCAACATTCCTAGGGAATGAATATTCCATTCCCAAGCCTCAATCCCTTGTATCAAATATAGCGTAATAGTTCTATTTTCACCATTCTCTAAAGTTTTTTTTTTGTTAGTAATTATTTTAAAATTCAATGATCATATTTCACTATCCTTTAAATTTGAGTTTGTACTTTTTTTTTCCACTCTTGATAGATTATCCACGGCCCAACCTGCTACGGGGACGAGGTTGTGCTAGGTTGGACAGGTTGGTTCTTGGGCCGGATTTAACGGACTTGTTGCAGGTGGGTTATTGGTCGGATTTTAGGCCGAGTAATGGGTTTTAGAGGTAGGGTCAAACTCTCTTTTGAAGGATATTGAGCTCGAATTCGGGCAAGCCAATTATCGAACCTATTAAGTTTTGAGTCTATATTTTTCGAGCCAAGTAACGGTACCCATGGGCAATCCAGCCCATAAACACTCCTAAATATATTTTAGATATCTCACGATTGTTGACTACTATATAGCTTTTTTAATATATATTGCAAAATTATAATGAATAATGAACTACTACAACTTCTGAACAATGCATTTATAACATATGAGAAAGTACTTACAAAGGGATGAAGAGAAACCTGAAAATAGACACAATAAATCATCGAAGTGGAAACGTAAGTAATCAATTTTTTCCTTTGTCATGAATTGACCCAGTCAGAGACAGACTTATGTTTGGGCCCAATCACAGATGGACCTATGTTTGGGTCACCCCGACACCCCCCACCAACCACCCCAAAAAAACAAAAAACCACATCTTGTAAAAATTCATTTTTTCAAGGTTTAAAAAATTCAAATTTTGATACATATTTTATGTAATTTTTACTCGGTACCCCTTAAATTTAAAATTTCCAACTAATTTTTTCAATTTGGCCCCCACTTTGAATTTTTTGGTTCTTTTACTGATATTGATCAAACCCGTTAGATTTAATTTGGATAATCTTTAGCTCAAAAAAAAATTAATAAAAAAATTAGAAAAGAAAACTTTGTTTTTTCACTTTTTATTGGATGAAAAATAGGACGGTACCAAAAAATTATGTAAAAATTATTTGTCAGTACCCACTCATAAACAATATGTAAACAAGTCTCATAGTAAATACAAATAAATAAACAAACGTAAATAAAAACCTTTTTATGCTCAACACAGAAGTTAAGGTGATACATGATAGAATACAAACATCATGGAAAACAATGAAACAACTACAACTATTTGAAAGAAGTGAAGAAGTTGATCGTATCTTTCAGCGCCCGGATGAAGTCGTCAACATCTTCTTTGGTGTTATAGAAATAAAGACTAGCACGCGCGCTTGCACTAATTCCTAAATAGCGATGGAGAGGCTGGGCGCAGTGATGACCAGATCTGATAGCCACCCCATGCTGAAACAGAATGTGTTTAACTATCACCAATTATTGATTTCCGTTCTTAATAATTCAGCATTTCGAACTCCCCACAGCTTATTATTATTGATGCATGCAGTAACAATAAACAGAGCCAAAAAAAAAAAGAAGGACAAATCCAGTATCCTTTTGTTAATACCTGTTGGTCAAGGAAGGTTGCAAGATCTGTTGGATGAATATCATCAACATTGAAAGAACAAAGAGCGGCTCGCTGAACAGTTTGTGAAGGCGCTGGGCCATAGATCCGAACACCATGGACTGAACGAAGACTTTCATACAAATAATTGGCCAGATCTACCTGAGTAGAATTAAGAGCAGTAACCAATCTGTGCAAGTATCGCAATTATCTTTCTTTCTATAGCATGGCATTCAAGAACTACAATCGCCTTGCATCAAATTTATTTCAATTCTGCCCTACTGTGATCATATTTAAGAAACTCAAAAAAGATTCAAACCTACGAAAAGAAATTGCAATCAATACTTGTTGAACTCACCTCATAATTGTGAATCTTTTGCATCCCAATTTCAGATAAATAGTCAATTGCTGCTCCTAGCCCGATTGCTTCCCCAATTGCTGGTGTTCCAGCTTCAAATCTGAATGCATAAAAAGGTTGGATTTACAACGAGAGTGATAATCTAAAAACTAGCCGACAATGTTGAGAAATACAAAATCTATGTTAAATGCAAGTGCCAAAAATCTGTTTTACAACCTCCATATGCAACATATACAACTTTGTTGCTCATAGGAGGATTAATACTTGTGATTGGTTTCAAAGGAAAGGTCAAATGCATTTTTTGCCTTCCCCAATGGTGAATTGTGTAGTATGTGCAATAATGGCGGCAAGAATATTGATCACCCCTTCCTTCATTGCTACATCTTGTTAAGAATCTAGCGTAAGCTTAGGGATGCGAGTATGGATTGGGTGATACCACGTGACCGTGTTTCCTTCTCTTTGGAGGATTCTGGAGGCTTCGTGAAAAGTAAGAGAGCTTACGTTCTTTGGGATTGTGTGGCAGTTATGACTATTCTGAGTTATTTGGATGGAAAGATATGGTAGGATGTCTGATGACAACTTTGAGTTGGAGGAATCTCTTTGGGAGAGTGAAATTTCGACTTTTGCGCTTCAGTTACTAAGGAATTCCGAGGCATTCCTTTTTTCTCGATCCGAAAAGAATGGATTGTGGCCTGTGGTTAAAGGTTTTTCACTGTTGTTTAGCTTTATTTTTTTATTATATTTTTTTTTTCATCCCCCTCCTTTTGGTGTATGAGATTGGATTCCTTGTCCACCATCTTTAAACTTTCCCTTCCTATTAACAAAAGTTTCATTTCTATCAACAGAAAGTAATAGATAACTTGAAATTGATATCAAGTTTAAGGCTGATAACAATCAAAAAAGATACATGATGTTAAATGGTGTAATATGGAAAGCTCTATACAGAAAATCTAAAATGTAAACACCTGCTCAGGCACTGAGGAAGAAATAGAGGAATTTTCGAGTCAGGAAACATGCAAGTACAACTCTCAGCCGAAATAGATATACTACGATGAATGAGTTGCAAAATCAACAAGGATATAATAAGGAAGGGTTCTTGGAGGAAACTTTAGCAGGAACAAAAGAGAGGGAGTAGATTGAGAGAGTTTGTTCTCAAGCAAACAAAAGCAATGACAGCATAATTAAGAAGTCATTCGCTTTCAATCTAAGGGGTAGCAAGGAGAAACCAACAAAAGGACCAGGGTTGCGGTGTTAAGAAGATTACTTACAGCCTATGACGTAAAAGAATTCACTAACATAAAATCTTGCAGGCAAGTACAATTCCGATTTGATGGTTTATCTCCGTTGGATCTGAGATAGCATACTGGTAAAGTAAGATTTGTGCGCCAATACCACATAAATAGCACAATCCAAACAAACCCCTTACTCACAAAAAACTGCAAAACTTATATTTTTTAATTCACATGTCAGCTATAATTACATGAACAAATATAAAGATTTTCTTCTTTCAGGGGAAGGAGGGGGGGAAGAATGTTCTAATGGTAACTGACAATCTGCACAAACCAACACTATAACTTGGTGGTCTTCCAGGTAGGGCTGTATGTTCCAATCTACAATCAACCCAAATGCCTACATGCCTATGCAATGCAAGGAAAAGAGAGTAAGCTCCAGGTGCCCCGTCCCCCCCCCCCCCCCCCCCTCTCAAGTTTATTGATATTGTACATCTAGGTCCAGGATTAAATAAGCAACTAACCTGGATGGAGGATCAGCATAAGTGGAATGATCCAAAAATACATCAGATATCATTTCACCACCCCCTGTGATTAAGGAAAGATAAAAATAAGAGTTTTTTGAATATGGATTAAAGAAATTCATGTCTTAATGTTTCCATATTCATAAATTATCTATTATTCCTATTGTCTGGTACTTAAAATATCCTGGCCACACATATGCACACATAAACACACATACACACAAAGGAAGCAGCCTTACCTAAGAAAGGAGGCATGGCACTCAAGAGCTCACTCTTACCATATAAGAATCCAATGCCTGTAGGCCCACACATCTGAAGCAAGTTTAGTCTTTAACTTCGTATACTTTCCAACAAGACTTGGATGTTAGCATATACATGAAAACAACCTAACCTTGTGAGAAGAAGCAACAAGAAAATCAACATCAAGGTCCTTCACGTCAACAACCATATGTGGAACACTTTGACAAGCATCTACCAGCACTTTTGCCCCAACATCATGTGCCCAAAGCACGATCTCATCAATTGGAAGGACAGAAGCTACAAAGAAATTGAGCAAGTACCAGCTGTAATTATGGCAGTTCCAATGTGGCTGATCTTCACTTAGCATTGAAATACAATACACACAAACATCATTCCTAAAAACTTACAGCAATAAGTAAATGGCAGTTCATTTCCAGTACACAAAAAAGGGAGCTCATCATTACAGTCTCTAACAACAATGACACGTCTATAACGTTATACTGTCTGGAAAGTAGTCTGTAGACAAGACAATAGGTTTCATGACAAGGGATCCTAGTGGTACAATTTCTTTTCTTTCTTTAGTTACATTCTTATTTTAACGACCGCAGGGGAAAGATGCAGATTCCTTTGAAAATAGGGAAGCATCCATTTTAAGCAAGGCACCTAAGATTGCATATCCTTCCAAAGTACGACTATTATTTGAGGAATAAAAATGAATTTTAATGTCAAAGGGACTCGGACTCATGTCTTGGTATCGCATTGTTGGTCCTAATACAACTCAAAGTGATGGTATAACTCCATGTGTTTGGTGAAACAATTCCCCCAACACAAAAAACAAACATAAAAAATATAAACCCTTACTTGAATAACCAAATTTATACTCATGTATAAGCTTGTCTCATAAATCACTGAACACAACTTTGATTTATGCATTACGACATCACTTTATAACACTATTTTAAAAGAGTTAGAAATAAAAAATCCACATACCAGTGAAAAGTACAAACATGTCCCTATTTTTATTTTAAAGTGTTCGAGTTTTAGCAGCTTAGATTATTAGGGTTTATTAGAGTTTTTTCTCCTTTTTACATTTTTATCCTTATTGTGACTTTTATTGGCTATATATATATGGGGGTTCTACACTTAGTTTGTATCTCATTCACTCACAAATATTTCTAGTTGGTATCAGGGCCACCAACTTTAACCCTAACCCTAACGCTAGCCCTCGCCAAACATAGCAACTAGCGAGACATCGCAGCACCATCCCTCATCAAACAGCAAACCAGAAACACCGACTGCCCGGACCACCCACTACCCACTGAATCCACCGACTGCCCAGACCACCCAGACCAGTCTGTCCGACAGCATCCCACTCCAGCAAAACTAGACCAGCCCCAACCAAACTCAACCGACAGCCAGCCAGCTAACTCCAACAAGCCAAACCCAGACCAGCAGCAGCCTGCCACCAACAGACCAAAAACCAAAAACCGACAATCGACATACCACAAACCAGCAAACAAGCCCCCCGCCCACTCAAACCAATCCAAAACCAAACCAGTGACAAACCAGCAAACAAAACCACTCAAACAATCCACTGCCCAAACACAGCGACAAACTCTGTCAAAACAAACAAAAAAAAAAAAAAAACTGCCCAGACCAGCCCATTACCCGCGACGAACCCAGACCAGCCCCAAACTCAGCGAACCAGCCCACACTGCCACCCATAGCCTACTGCTGGGTCACTGCCCAGCGGTCGCGTTTTTCGTTATAGCTTCGTTCGTCGCACTCTTCATCACAGTACTGTCATCGTTTCGAGCCACCTTTCTTTTTTCCTAGGGTTGCAATATATAGGACTTTTTAGGAGGGATTGGATCATTTTCTCCGCTGATCTGCTCTTAATGCAGTAGATCAATTATTTATTGGATTTCTAGGCACCGTGACCTTGATTATTTGGGAGCTTTTTGGACCTTCTTTGTCTGTCGCTATTGTTCAACTAGAGGTATATTATTCTCCCTTATTTTGTCCCTTTATTTATCTTAGAGTTTTTTCTGTCACAAGTGCCCACATATTGTTATTGCTATGACTACTACTGTTGAGATCTCTACTGTTAGTACTTCCACTTGGAATGTACCTCCTGGTTCTCGTTAGTGTGATTATTGTGGCCAACCAGGACATCTTAGGGCTACTTGTTGGAAGCTCTATCCGGAGCTTAAGCCACCTCCCACCTGGAATGTAACTCCTGGTTCTCGTTAGGGTGATTATTGTGGCCGACTAGGACATCTCAAGGCTACTTGTTGGAAGCTCTATTCGGAGCTTAAGTCACCTCCTTGCAGCCATACTACTGTTATTATTGAGGTACCACCACCTACTGCTAGTGTTCCTACTGTTGCTCCTCTTTGACAAAGTGATATGGATGTTATCACTTTCCGATTGGATATACTTATGTCCGCCCTGACTACTGTTACTGTCACCACTACAGGTATACCTCGTGGCTTTCATGCTTACGTCAGTCCGTCTCCCCCATGGATGTCGGACTCGCGTGCGAATGGTCATATGACAGGTGAGGCCCATCACTTTACCACTGTTGACAAGCAATTACATACACAGGTTCAGCTAGCATATGGGACACATGCCCCTATTGTTAGTAGGTGTACAGTCCACCTTCCAGATGGCTTTACATTACATTCGATTTTTCATCCGCAAAAACTGGCCATGAATCAATTATCCGTACATCAGTTAGCTAGAAATTTTCACTGTGCAGTTGTGTTTTTATCTAATTCGTGTTATTTGCAGGACCTGAGTACCAGAAGGATTATTATCAGGAGACATGAGAGAGATGGACTGTATTATCTAGGCGATCCACCTTCAGTTTCACCAATTCCTCCATCTTCATCACTTGCATCTGTTTTTTCTTTATCTATTCCTACCTTACATGCTAGTAGTTTGCCTAGTACTTGTCATTATAATTTTTCATCATAAATTGTTCAGTTGTGGCATGACCGTTTGGGCATACAAATTTTAAATATTTATGTATGTTATTTCCTACTTTGAACAATATTTGTATTGGTGGTAAACTTGACTCTGTTATATGTTCTCTATCGAAACATGTTCGGACCAGTTATATTTCTCGTATGCACCAGTCACCCAAGCCATATGATCTGATACACTCTGATATTTGAGAATCCTATCCTGTTACTGCTCTGTCAAGTGCTTAATACTATGTGACATTTATAAATGACCATACCCGTTGTACTTGAGTTTACCTTTTGCATAGAAAGTCTGATGTACTCCCTGTCATCACTCAATTTCTCCACATAATTAAGACACAATTCGATGTCATTGTTCGTGTTCTCCGTTCGAATAATGCCAAAGAATATGTATCTGATGCCTTAGTATCTCACCTTTCCTCTTAGGGTATCCTTCAGCAACTCACTTGTCCATATACTCCTGAGCAAAATAGAGTTGTTGAAAAAAAAAATAAGAGTCTAATATGGATGGTACGTTGTATGCTTAGAGGTATGGGGGTACCAAAATCTTATTGGCATTTTACTATTTTGACTTCTACCTTTCTGTGTAATCGTACACCGAGTCGTGTTCTTCAGCATAGATCTCCTTACAAGTCTTATTCCCTGAGCGGACACTTTCCGATCCCCCCTCGTATTTTTGGTTGCACATGTTTTGTTCAGGATTAGTCTCCTACTCACCATAAGTTTGATGATAAAGTGATTCGTTGTGTCTTTGTGGACTATTGTCATCAGTCTAAAAGGTATCGGTGTTATAATCCTATCATATGTCATATGTATCACAATCTAGATGTTACCTTTCTTGAGCACATTCCTTATTTTTCTTCCAATCCTGTGTCTACCCCTCCAGTTGATAATAATCCCTTTGATTTTCCGTTACCACAAGAGCCAGAGTCATTGGTCACTATCACTAAAGAATTCTCAGTCTCTCCTCCTCTAGAGCCACTCGTCCATGTCGGTACAAAGTCACCAGTCTCTCTTCCTTTGTAGGGTTATGTTCGTCACTCTCGCTCTCATCCCCCTGCTAATGTCCCCTTTATCTTAGGCGATGCAGGTAATACTTCTCAGTTCATTGAGCATACTGATGCATCTGTTGTTAATACTGATGAGATTGCAGGTACTGAGCTAGTTACTTTCTCTGATGAGACATTGTCAGTGGAGAATGATGATTTAGGGTGTCGTTATCTGCAGCGTGATCGTTGTCCAGTTGTTCGTTATGGTTGGATTGTCAGGACTTTATATCCGATCTCTACTTATGTTTCTTATTGTGATTTATCTCCTACATTTCAAGCTTATAGTATGGCCTTATCAGATACACCAGTTTCTCGCTCTATTTCAGAGGCTATGCGGGAGCCCCAATGGGTTCTTGTCATGCAGACGGAGATGGACACTCTTCAGCGTAATCAAACATGGAATCTTGTCTCTTTACCTTCAGGGGGTGAAGCCTGTTGGCTGTCGCTGGGTTTACACCCTAAAGTTTCTTATTGATGATACTATTAATCGTCACAAGGCCAGACTTGTGGCGAAAGGCTTTACTCAGGTACCAAGTTGTGATTTTGGTGCTACATTTGCCCCCGTGGCAAAATTGACTACTATTTGGTTGATTATTTCTCTAGCTGCGAAGTACTCTTGGTCTCTTCATCAGTTAGATGTGAAGAATGCGTTTCTTCACGGTAATTTGGACAAGATTATTTAAATGAATGCACTACCAGGTTTTCGAGGTGAGGGGGAGTATGCTAGGAAGGTGTGTCAACTGCGTAAGTCTCTCTATGGACTGAAACAGTCACCACGAGCCTGATTCTTTCAGTTTAGTGGCGTAGTTGTACGCTTAGGGTTCACCAGATGTCATTCAGATCATACATGCTTTATTTGACGGAATACTTCTGGGCAGTGTGTCATCCTTTGGCATATGTGGATGATATTATTATTACCGGAGATGATATTTCTGGGATTGCACAGGTTAAGATAGACCTTGGGAAGGCCTTCGATGTGAAGGACTTTGGATTTCTACGATACTTTCTTGAGATTGAGATTGCCCATAACAACGGGGTATTGTTCTTTCTCAGAGGAAGTATTGTTCTGGATCTTTTATCGGACACTAGGATATTGGAGTACAAACTGACATCATCTCCCATGATTCCAAACCTAAAGCTTGCCGCTGAAGGTGAGGAGTTGAGTGATCCGACTGTTTATTAGAGGTTGGTGGGTAGACTTATCTACTTAACCAACACTAGGCCAAACATTTTATTTGCTGCCAGCCGAATTAGTCAGTTCATGTACAGGCCGTGTCAACCTCATCTTGATGCAATTTATCATATTCTTCGGTACTTCAAGTCTTGTCCTAGACTTAAATTTTTCAATGCATCAGGATTTCAGACTGGTTCTCTAACCTGTTATTCAGATTCAGATTATGGGGTAGCGTGTGACTGTCAATCTGCTACAGGCTTTTGTGCTTTTCGAGGGACTCATCTTATCTCTTGGAAGAGCAAGAAGCAGTCAGTTGTCTCTCACTCGTCAGCAGAGGCAGAGTATCGGACATTGACACTTGGCACATGTGAGATTATCTGGCTACAATCAATTCTTGGAAAGTTGGGATTTCCAATGAATTCTTCATCTATATTATATTGTGATAATCAATCTGTTATTCAGCTCGCTTCTAACTCTGTATTACACGAGAGGACAATGCATATAGAGATCGATGTTCACTTTCTTCGGGAGAAGGTTAGCATTGGTATTGTCACTCCATCGTTGTGGGGGCTAGTGATCAGGTTGCGGATGTTTTCACCAAACCTGTCACTCTATCCATTCTTCGGGACTCCGTTGTCAAACTTGACTTAGTTGACATTTTCGTGTCTAGCTTGAGGGGGAGTTTTGGAGTTATAGCAGCTCAGGTTATTAGGGTTTATTAGAAGTTTTTCTCATTTTTAAATTTTTCTCCTTTTTGTAACTTTTATTGGCTATATATATGGGGACTCTACACTTAGTTGTATCCCATTCACTCACAAATATTTCTAGTTAAAGAAAAGAGTGAGATACCCAAAAACAAGAAATTGAGACGCCATCACCATCACCATTTATTCTAAAGATTATATGGCACTTTGTTTTATAAACCAACTCACCTGGTGAAGATTGACTTGATATCATTTATAAGTGAGTGATTTTTAGTTCTCTCAATATCACTAACGAAAGAAACCATTTCCATTTCCAACCCTTTTCAATCCTTAAGCCTACAGCCTTTCTTCAACCTTTCTAAATCCAAAACCTACAAAGTTACAAAAAGATATCTATCAGATGTGCATTAGTCTTTGTTTCCATGATCAATTGAGATACAGGTTCAGATAAAAAACTTACCAACATCAATAATTATCAGACTGTATACCTAGTAATTAACTAACAATTTAACCATGTCCACATATATACATATATAGCACAAAGATGTGAAACATGATGTCAAACACAAGAGTCCATTGACCTACCTTGGATTGAAGAGTGAGAAAAATGAAAAAGCATACCTATTGCAAAAAAGAACTGAAAACAAAATGAAAAATTCATAACCGGAGTTCCCCTACCAAGCGTGTTTGAGACATGGTGAACGACTACAAGTTTTGTTTTCCGTGAAAGCATCTCCCTTAACTTCCCTGTATCTGGAACTTCATTGTCAGCTAGAGTCACAAACTTTAAAATGGCACCAGTCTTTTGAGCTACAATTTGCCAAGGAACAACAGCACTGTGATGTTCAGCAATTGTAAGTACAACCTGCACAAATTTAGTGTTAAGCGACTGTTTTGAGTAGGATGTGCATATTCAGGTTATCTATTTCAATAAAATCCTAACCCAGTTTGGTGATTGGTACATAGATGTCTCAAAAAATCTCTCTCTCTCTCTCTCTCCATATATATATATATATATCAATTATGGAAGCTCTGGTGAGAACTTTTTACGTGAGCCGTTAGTTATTAATCGAAGAAGACCAAAATTTAATGCAAACGCTTACTAAATTTGGCTTGTAACTAAAAAGGAAACTACAATAGCATATTAATTGTGATTCTAGTTATATATATATATACACACACTTACAGAAACTTCAATGGCCTCCAACAGAATAGTATTTATACACACTTATACACTACAGAAAAACTCAATGCAGCACTGCTTTATATCTACAAAAGCTTCAAAGGTCTATTTCTTACCAGGGATTTTAAGCTAACAATCCTGAGATCCCAGGATTAAATACAACAGGATTTCTAATGCTACATTTTAGTTTCTATTTCATTAAGAAAACTAGTTTTTTTCATAGCACTTGTCATGAACAAAGGATTACAAGGAAAATAGTTGTTTACAAAGTCAATTTGGGAATCGTCCTCTGCTTTACGTTTTTCCTTTGCTTGGGTTCATAGGTTGGCAATGACATCGCAGATTTTTCAGCCAAGATGGGAGCTACATCTCTTGAACTTGATAGGAGCGATTGCTAAACCACTTCGTGTTGAACTTTAGAAGAGTTGAGTTTCATGATGAGATTGTTTTCTCATTTCTTTGGTCATCGTGATTGACGTCTTAGGACTCTTCCTACCTTCGTACTAGGTTATTGATCTTTAATAATATTTGTTGTTTCCTACTGAAACAGTGAGTAAATTTTTTGAGATCATCTTTTAAAAATGAGGCTGATTAAGTGAATACTGGTTGTTTGTTTGACAATTGAGGATTAGGAGCCATTTGGTGTAGAACCACACAGCTTGCTCCGAAGCTATTGCATTGATAGGCAGGGCAGCATCTAAGAGCCTCGTCTGAGTAGAAATTTCTTAACCTTATAAAGTTGTTGATGTATTTGGTTTGATTTCTGGTCTTAGGGTTAATAGTTAGGATAAAATATCTAGGTTGATAGTGGTTCTTAGGTGTTCAATGGGAGAGTGGCTTTTTTAGTATTTGGTGACTTGGTCTACCTTTAGATGGTAACCCATTGTCTGTACCTTTTTTGGGATCCAGTCATTAAAATATTGGGACAAGGATGGATAGAAGAAGACTTTCATTTCTCTTTATTTTATTTTTTTTGCTTTGAGGAGGGGTTAACCTTAGTTTAGTCTGCATTGGCGAAAAACCCTGTTTATTTTTCATCCCATTTAAAGATACATTGTGGGGTGACAAAGAGGATTGAGGAGATGATGAGAGATTTCTTATGGGAAGGAAATACGCAGAGTAAAAAGCATCACTTACTTTGTCGGGGAGGTGGGGTCTAAGCCAAAAGCAAAGGGTGGACTTTCATGGAAAATTTGGTGGTTAGAGATACAGCCTTGGTCGAAAAATGGCTTTGGAGATTTCCTGTGCAGCAAAATTCGTTATGACATACGGTTATTAAAAGTAAGAATGCCCTCTAGGCTAATGAGTCAAATGCTAAAGAGGTTGATAAGGGATGCCACTGAAATCCTTGAAAATTTATTTTCCATTGATTACCTTGCTTTTCAAAAGTTCAAGTTTATTGTGAGTAATGGTTTAAGAATTTGATGGTGGGAGGATAATTGGCTCCGGGAGTCATCGTTCTCAAGTTTATTTCAACTTTCTTGTTAGCATGATCATAGTGTTGCTTCCTTAGCAAGGTCGGATTCATCTCTAGTGTCTTGAGATTTGGGTTTTGTAGGGATCTAAATGATAGGGAGTGGGAGTCTTTGGAAATAGATTCACTTCTCTCGTGGCTTAATTCAATCACTTTGAACCAAGATTCTTTGGACAAAACGTGTTAGGTCATTAACCCCATGCAAGTCATTCGTTGAATCTTTAATCGATAATCCTTTAGTTCCTCTCTTTACATGGCATTGAAGATAAGGAATGTTAAGGTGTCTTTGCAATTGCAAGTGCAAGTGCAAGTATGTGCATGGGTTATTTCTCACAGTAACATTAATACATATGAAGTGCTCCAAAGAGGAGGCCTTAAAGGTGTTACTCTTTAGTATTGTGTTTTCTTTGCATTTGTTTGAATCATTTGGTTAGAAAGAAATTCGAGAATTTTTTAACATAAAGAGAAAGTGATGGAAGGGTTGTGGGACCATATTTATTTCTTAACTTCTTTCCGGCTTTAGTGACAAAGGAATTTGAGGGATAGGAATTTGAGAATATCCCTCTTTTTGAACTACATTGAATTGGATGGCATCGTACGGAAGATAGTTCGAACTTTTGGAGGATGTTCTATTGTTTTTCTGTTTTTGAATGGAATAGAGTTAGACTACTTGTCCACCTTTGCTCGAATAATGTAAAATTAAACTGTCAATGAAAATTTGTTATTTAAAAAATGAGTCACGTCCCCACTTCTACTAGGATTAGATGACCCAAATAATTTATAAATCATAATTCCAACAAACATGAGAATACATGTTATAATAAATTCAAAAATCCTCTACCAATAGACAACAGAAATGAGGTCAAATAAAAACAATGCAAACATGAAAAGTTCAAAGGTTTAACATTGAGCCGAAAAAATGAACCAAGTGAGCTAAAGGAAAGTAGACCTCATCTCCTGCCATTAAATTTGAAAGTCCCCAAGAGTAAGCCACTAGGTTGATAGCTTCAGTAGCATTTTTTGTAAAAACAATCTCTCTAGACTCAAATGCATTAATGAAAGTAGCCACCTTCTTTCTTGCTAATTCATACTCATCTGTTGCCTTTGCACTGTATAAAAGAAATTGTAAGAAAGTATTGGCAATATGATTAGAATATAATACCTCCGGTTGCACCTTTAATAAACAAAAAGAAAACAGAAATTTCAGTTAAAAAAAGATCGGAGAAAACACACCACTTCAGAAATATGTTAAAATATGGTGCTAATGCATTTAGTGTTAAACCTATTACCAAATCGGGAGGGGTCTCCTCTTTACGCACATTACAAATTTTTATTTTTTTTGATAGAAAACAGAAATTTCATTACATAGAACGAAAGATGTAAATAGAATTACAGAAAATGGTGGATAAGAAATCTACATAGAAAACAAAAAATAAAGAAAAACTAATGACTACAAGCAGCCTTCCAATTGAGTTACAAAACAGCCACAAGGGATATCACAAAAATCCTCGGTAACCTTGCCCAAAGAGAAACTAAAAACTTTACTTTTTTCCATAAGCATTCTTTTTCCTCCTCCTTAGTTTCAAAAATTCTTCAATTACGCTACAACCAAACCACCTAGAAAATGGCCAAAGTAGCACATCTCCATACAATGGAAGCTCTTTTACCACATCCAAAACCCTCTAACATCATCATAAAAAGTGAAGCACTTTTACAAGGTATTACCCGCAGCAAATCCGTTTCCCCCAAAAGCTTGAACCATCAAAAAATAGCAATGGGACAATGTAGAAACAAATGATTAACACTTTCATAAGAGAGCTTACACATGTTACACCATTGAGGACAAATTAAAGTGTTAGGCCTTAACTTTTGCAATAAATCACAAGAATTCACCTTACTATGAGCAACCAACCAACTAAGCAATTGCACCTTAATTGGCACTCTTACCTTCCAAATCATCGAATGAGAATCAAAAATAGGATCATTTGGGTTATGCACCTGACAATCTATAAATCCGAGGACACAACAAAGTAAAAGAAGACTCACAAATCCAAATATCCTCCCAAAAGCGTACTCTTCCCCCATTCTCCACTTTCAAAGAAAAATGCTCTCTAAAATCATTCAAATCTTGACAAATAAACTTTCAAAGATTACGGGATTAGCCTCTAACTACCACATTAGAGTCTCATTCATTAGCATGGATACCATACTTACTTTTGATAATAGAATGCCACCAGGAATCAAACTCCAATGGAAACCTTCAAAACCACTTTTCCAACAAAGCCGCATTCTCCTTAACTAAATTACTTATACCTAATTCTGCTTTTGTTTTAGGCTTTGAAACAACTTCTCACAGTCCCACCTAACAAGATGATCATTCTTTCCTTCTCCACTACCCTTTCATAAAAAATCTCTCATCATTTTCTCTAAAATCTTAGCCACCTTATTACGGACTAGTAATATTCAGGTTAGGAGGTGTAATTAATCATGAAAAGTGTTATTTTATTATATTTAATAATTAGTTTATTACATATTATTTTAGATAAAATGTACTAGATCCTTTATTTTCTAGTTTGATACTTGTTTAGTTGTTTAATTTATTTTGCAGGTAAATTGGTTAATTTAAATTAATAATGGATAAGATAAGTGAAATAAACACTAGAGAAAATATCACAATTAAGAAACGATTTTTTGATAAGGATTGATGGTTCAAGATTAAAATATGAATATTTGAAAATAAGATAACAATTTAATCTTTGTGGGAGTCCAAATTAGTAGAAAAGTCATTTAGAATTAAATTATGAAAGAATTCTAGAAGATAAGGTTTTGACACATCTTCAATATTTTGGTTATATCTTTTTGACTCTAATGTCCGATTGACCTAATTTTTACGGCATTAGAAAGAAGACTTCAGGAATTACAAAAATGTATTTCATAATAATTTCATGAATTGACCTCTAACTATACAAAAATTGAGCTCAAAATTTGGGCAACTATTGTACTGTCGTCAAGACGTGCCCCCAAGATTTGATGCACGTGTTTTGACCTAAATGTACTTCTTCTTTTTTTGTTTCAAGGCCAACCCTAGCCTCCCTGGTATACATATAGGCAATTTTCCTTTTGAGAGAAAAAGCATTTTAGATCTCATCTTTTACTTCTTTCTGTTCTTTTTTTTTTTTGAGATCTACTCATGGCCAATGAGTAGTTCTCTTTGTACTCTTTAGCCTAGGGTTATGAATTTGTGATTGTTTATTCAGATATTACGTTTATACAATTATTATTTTATTCTTAATGTTAAATCTTTATTTTATTAGATTGATCGGATGTTTTAGCAAAGTTTTAAACTCTATATAATTGTTTGATTGTCTATTAACAAAATTGAGCTCTTGATATATTCAATACTTATGCTACCCTGCGAGTTTTATGAAAATAGTTCTTCAATTCTTATTTTCAAATCAATCAAGATAATTGTGTTTTAAAGTTATATTTTCTGGTTGACTACATTGATTTGGAAATCAACTGAGTTATTATGAAAAGCACAAATATAATTATCTTATGAACATGAATAGATCCAGATCCCGAAATTAAAGGGCCGTTTTTCCAATAGATTAATTTCTTTAAATTTTACTTGCAATTATTCTTCAACTAATTCAATTTTTTCAAGAATTCTAGTTCTTCCTTTACCTTTACCTCTAAATTCCCTTTAATCCCTGTAGTTCAACCTTGGACTTACAGAGAAATTATTACTTCTTGACCACTAGCACTTAGGTGTACTCTTTGAGGATCAAGCAAGTTTTTGGCACCTTAATATGCACATTACAAACTAAATGTTGAATACCTCAAGAAATGAATTCCACGGTGTACGTTTGAATTGTAGGCTTCATAATAAGTCTGCAAAGCCTTCAATACAGCAGTAGGCTTCTGAGAGGTTGCAGCATTGTCCAGGTACACAAGTTTTGATCCATTTACCTCCTGTAAAATCATGTTGATGCTCATAACAGTATTTTACAATACCATTCATGCAACGAAATATATCACTTTTGACATAATTAAATGATAGATTCATTTTAAAAATGTTCTAATGAATACAAAATTAGTAATTTGATGAATACATTCGACTACATTATTTGTATCATTATTCGGATTTTATTGTTAGTCTATTATAATTCTTATTCAACTACATTGTTTGTATCATTATTCAGATTTTATTATAAGTCTATTATTATTCTTACTTTTTTTTTCTAAAGTAAAAAAAAATGCTATGGTGGATAAAACACTAAATTTTGCAAATTCAAACCAAATTTTATCTTTTTCCTTAAATTCACAAATGACTGTCCTGAACCCAATTTCTATGGATTTAGTACGCGAACTCAATTACCATCAATTTCAATACATACAGATCACTAAAATCCTCGATCAATAAAAATAGAATTTCTCAATCTTTAGAAATAATTACAATGGTTCAACCCACTCTCAAAATTGTAAAATTTCACCAATGAATCAATAATTCGAAGACTCTTCCTCAATCGATTCGATCATCTTTTGACTTTCAATTAATTTTCAACTTGCAACTGGGAGGTGTAAATGGGGGGTGACTTGGGAGGCCTAGTAAGCAATTTACAACATAACACACAGAATCACAAGATTATAGGGTAATTCAACAATCAACCACATAATCAACAAATAAAATGAGCATTTAACACAAATCCCTTCATAAAATTCATATGAAACCCAATTCTCCAATTTTTCAAATCATTCATGGTTTCATATTAGGTTCATCTTGGCTACATACTAGGCGCTACTCGGTACATCTCATTCTATCACACGCTCCTTGAGGCCAAAATCACATCTCAATAACAAAACCATACCACCAAGTATGCTTGACACATGTGCCAATAGATCCCCAGCACTTAACCAACAAAATATTTTTACACAGCAAAAACAAAGATCCATCGGACGAAAGTCCAAATCAACAGTTAAACAATGGATCAGAATACAATAACGATAGCAATAAAAGGACTCTTTGCAAAGAGTCTAAGACACAGATGCATATTATGAGATAAACCACTTACCTTCTCAATCAAAGCCAAAATAAAATTTCGTCCAACCCTAAGATCTTTTGAGTTTAATACTCAATCTCTCTCTCTCTCTCTCTCTCTCTCTCTCTCTCTCTCTCTCTATATTTAATCTTTGAACCGCCGCCTCAAGGAGTTTGTTTATGTTTTCTCACCAAAGGGTTACTACCTAACGTAAGTCTATATATGAAGGAACATGATAGGGCAACATCCAAAAGCAATCAGTTTAGGTACTGTCAATTTCCTTATTCACACTTGATTCCTTCTAAGTTTCTAAAATTATTTCATCAGCATTAAAAAAAAATTGTCTTTTTGGTGACCACCAATTATGATACTTCTAAAAAGAATTTATCAATTAGTTATTTAAACGTTACCCATCTACACAAAAGCCTAAAATTATTCTCCTGACCTGTCTCTTGATATCCACACTTATTATATTTCTCTCGCCTACTTTCTCTTACCTTATAAAAATGATTACATTAATCTACTTCGGAAAAGAATAACAAGCAATTTATATCCCATATGTATAGCCCATAGTTAGTACGAGAAACCTTAAAGGCGACTTGTCAAATCCACTACCTCATAGTCGGTTTCATTGCACTAATATCCTTTGCTAACATATAACCATAAGCTTGACCCAAAAATAAATTACATTTCTTCTTTTCTTTAATTTTTGGTATGGGTTATTACAGACCCGAAAGTCGAGACTCATCCCTATGGATGCACAAAATCACCAAAAACAATGTACAAGAAGTAAGCCCTAGGAAAGTGAACCTCAAAAAAAAAAAAAGTATATTTGATTCCTTGCCTCAGCCAACTCACCTCCCATGCGGTTCTAAATAGCCTTAGACATTTCAAGACAGTAGCTGCTTGGGAGTATGCATAACTATGCTTTGGTTTAAGTTGAGTGCTATTATATATTTCCTTTAAATTAGTATGTTGCTGCATTACTTTTGCGCTTTGTTTAGCCTCAACTACAATTGGGTCAAGATCACTTTGAAATTTCATATCTTTTGGGGCTAAGCTTAAAGAACGTCTCTGTTTTTCCAATTCAACGGTTGTGGCATAAATCTTCATATCTGACCAGCAGTAGATTCAGATTCTCTACAAGTCAAAAGTTTTAAGTTATTAAGTCTGAAGTCCTGATCCTACTGGAGACTAGCATGCACCTACCAATCTAACTTTGTTCTTTCTAGGTACATTTGGTTAGAAAGAAAAAAAAATGATAAAAAGTAAAGTAAAGAAAGGAAAATTAAGAGAAATATATTTGTTTGTATACATTTGGTTACAATGAAAATTTTATCAGAAATTTGTATAAGAATATTATAATGGTCTAATTTACCCTCACCTGAATCAACCCAAATGAATGTTATTTCCAAGACAACAATGTGTGATTGCTGTAATAAGGATGCACACTGCCTCTTTGGTACTTAAAGTTTTAACTTTGTCAATTTGATCCTCAAACTGCACACATTGAAACAATGTAGTTCTTAACCTGAACAACCGTTCAAATCAACTACAGAAAAACATCATGTACCAAGCATGTGAATGCTAATAAGGATATTTTTGTCATTGTCCACAAAAAATGGTATAAATGTAATTTTAGTGTGCAAGTAATATTATACAAATAATTATCATATAAATATGTTAATATGTATCTAAGGTAACTCCAATCCTTCTCACCATCACTCTATCTCTCTCCCTCCCCCCAGCCACAACCCTTTTAAGAATGGAACCTTCTTCTATATATTCCATGGCCTTGGGCATGCTTCTCAACAACCAAGAACCATAAGCTCCTAACCCCTCCAAGGTATATCACTTGTTACAAGTCTCCCGACAATGGCATCCAATAGCCATTAACTAGTTTCAAAGGCTATTCAACTCTCAAACTTCTATAAACATTCACATGATAATTTTGCATCTAATGACAAATAGAGGAAGAGTTTCCAGCCTCCCAATCTCTGTCATACTCTAGTCCAATGTACCAATTGGAACTTAGATTTCTCACCCTTCCCAGACCATACGACACTTACATAGACACTTCTTCATCTCAACTGTCAAGCACTACATTGAAAAGGTAAGGAATCATTGAAACAAGGAAAGAGTCATTCTTCATTTTATTTTATTTTACAAGTATTAGCAATCCAAAGGGGCCATTGTCTGGTACAAGAGCACAAGTATCGAGCCAACGACCATGACATTGTGGTTTCAAATATAATGGTAGTCATTTTATGCAAACAATGTCAAAAACTGTGTATCTCAATTATTCGCACCAATCTAGTAAATACCCTTTAATACTCACCTAAACAATATCATATGTTTGTAAAATATTATATATGCATAAGTATATTATTTCATCAAAAATTTGAAATTAAATTCATCCTTTACTATTTATTTAGTTCAGCATTTGTCCATATAACATACATATTGTTTCAGTCCCAATATCTAATATATACCAGAAACACCGACAACCGCAAAACAAAGAGACAAAGCTCAATTAACATGTCATGAAATTGAATCCAACAGGTTTTTGAAACATGGTGGTAAAGGGGGAAGAAGAAAAAAAGAAACAAAATTTATGACAAGTGAAGAAGATAGTACCTGATGGAGAATGGGGAAATCGGGTCTGGTGATGTGCCCAAGAGAAGAAGGTCCGAGTTTCGGGTCGTCTGCTTCGGTGACAACTGAAGAAGAAGCTGCCGATGCTGATACTGAAATAGAACGGAACCGGAGACGAACAGTTGCGAAGGTGCGGCTGGTGAGTTTAGCGTTTAGGATTTTGAGAGATGGAATTTTGAGAAGAGAACTTTCCATCTTCATCGTCGTCACCGTCGTCATCGTCATCGTCACCGAAAGAGGAGGAGGAGAAAAGGGTAAATATAAAGAGCCGACAAGCTCAGTGAGAAGGCGAATGCGTTATCAAATTATCGTTCTATTTTCATTTTATTATTTATTTTTACTTATTTATTGACCAGATATATCCTTGAATATACTCTATAATATTAAAAATTAAATTATAATTTTAAAATTAAAAAAAAACATAAAAAAAAATAATAAATAAGAGAGATGGGTGTAGATTAATAAAGTTATTTGTCATTGAAAATTAAACTTTCTAATTTTAATATTAGATAAATTTGTTTTTAAAAAAAAATAAAATGATAATTTGATATATTTCAATCTCATTTGCCATTTAAACTATTAGATTTATTATATTACTCTATAAAAATTTTATTATATTACTTACTTGAATTAGTTTCACACTTACGGAAATGAAATCAAATCAAATCACAAATTTCTTCGGATAAAATGAGATAATCATTGTGTAAAATCTGTAGTTGATGTTAACAATTAGCACAATATGGAATTAATAGCTATAGTTCAAGATATAATATAAAAATTATAATAGTTTAAGAAGTAATGTAGATGAGAACTAAAATTCAAAAGGGCAAAGCATAATTTTTCTAAAAGATTTCATATATTTTGCATTAAAAATATAGATTTAAATCTTGTTTTCATGGGACAATGATAATAAAAGACGTGAAAAACACAATAAAGTCCAAAAAAATATACCATATTTTGATAAAGCAACCGACTTTTCTGCTGCTATTAGCAATTCTTCTGTCTGATGCACAAGAGGAGAAACATATTTACAAGGGCCACCAGTACCACTATTTAATTATGACATATCATACAAAATTAATATATTCCACTATTTTAATATAAGCAATGTTAATTTGACTTAATTTATTGATCTAATCATTTATAATTATTGAATTGACAATAGACCTTAGTATTTGTTGGGACTCACACTCAATAGTTGTGACGTATTCAGTCAGGAAAGTAAGTCCAATAGCATTATTGTTTAATGTTATACAATAATTATCATATTGAATAACTAATTATTGCTCGTACCTGAAGGTATGAAGTAATAAAAAAATGATCAACAATAAACATATTTATATTTACATTCAAAATTAAATCTCAAAAATAGAAGAGAGAGAAAAGAATTTAAACACCGGTTGTAGTGAGGATGAACAGTTGTAGTGGGGGGTGGGCGACCGTGGTAATGGTAGAAAACAGTAATAGTTGTGATGGGTAACGAGAATCATGGTGGTGGTGATAACCGTGAGTGGCAACCGTGATGGTGGTGGTGGGGCGATGACAGTGGTAGTGGCGGTAGGTGACGACGGGTACTTCTAGGCGACAGTGTGATGAGTAGTGGTGAGTGACGCATGGTAATAAGTGTGGTGGGAGTGGATGACAGTAGATGGTGGCGATGGTGGACAACGACAGGTGGTGGTGAGTTATGGTAGTTGGTGGCGATGGGTGGTGGTGGGCAACAATGGTGGTAGTGGGCGATGGTAGTAGTGGGATGATGGTGGTAGGGGTAGGGATGACAGTGGCAATGGTTGGGGTGGCGACGGTGGTGGGTAGTGGTGATGGACGTGGTGATAGCGGTAGGGGTAGGGGTGATGGTAGGACAGTGGCGATGCTAGTAGGGTGGGGTTGGTAATAGGGATAATGGTGATGGGGCGGTGGTAGTGGTGATGGTGGAGGCAATGGTGGTGGTGGGGCTGGGGCGGGGGTAGGGGTGGTGAGCAGGGGTTGTGATAGGGTGGCAACGATAGTGGCAGTGGTGGTAGTGGTGATGGTGATGAGGTGGTGGTAGATCTGTCAAAATTCGACACGACACGATTAACCGACATAAATCGACACGAATTAAGCGGGTTTGAGTGAGATATTAAAGGGTTTGAGCAGTAAACGGGTTAATCCGCTAGACACGTTTAATAAACAGGTTGTGTTCAAGTGAGACTTGTCATACAATTTATCACATGTTTATCCATTTTAAAAAAATTAATATAATAATAAATTAATAATTATTTTAAAAAATTAGTCAAAAAAAAAAGTAAAGAAATCAATAAAAAAAAAAAGGTAAAGCAATAGTTCAAAGACAAAGGAGGGGAGATTGGGAACAGTTCAAAGACAAAAGCAATACAATGCCTTTTATTTTTGTCCCACATCAACAAATGAGGGGAGATGTGAGGGTTGAGTTGCCTATAAAAAGTAATGGGCTCTTGTTTTTTTTTAGCCTTCAAGTATAATTTTTATGTGAAATTTGGTTAAAAATTTCTTTTTTTTGAGGTAAGTATAGTTGGCAGTAAAAACAATTAAACGGGTTAAACAAGTCATGTTGTATTACTTGTTTATTAAATTGGTCGTATTCGTGTTGAGATTTTTCACCCGTTTATTAAATGTGTCGTTTATGGGTTTACATGTTTTTGACCCGTCACCTATTTAATCCGACACGTTTAACGCCCATAGGTGGTGATGGTAATGGTGGTGGTGGCAGGGCAGTGGTAGGGATTGTGGTATGGTGACGGTGGTGGGGATTATGGTAATGGTGATGGTGGTGGAGCGATGGGTGTGGTGGTGTTGTTGGAGTGACGTCAGTGGCAATGGCGGAAAGTAGTGGTGGTGGTGGTAGTAGTGATGGTGATGGGGGTGGGGGTAGTTGTGGAGGTGGGTGTAGGGGTGGTTGTGGTAGTGGTGATGGTGGTGTTAGTGGTGATGGTGATGGTAGTGGTGATAGTGAAGCGGTTCTAAACACTATTTTTTTTAAAGTATTTATAAGAAATTATAAATTGTAAAAATACTTTTAAAAAGTCACATCAAACACACCCTTAGCCTTAAATGACCTATTTTTCCTATTAATTTTGGGGTGTTAATATTAGCTGTCAGATTAACTTTAAAGTAAAATTTAACAAAATCTCAACCACAAAAAATAAAAATCATTTTATTTGTCTTTTAAAATTTGAATTGTATTATATTTTATTATATAGATTAACACATGAGAATTATAGGATTTACTTATCTTATATGGTGTTTTACTATTGATTACTTATACCATGTGTTACTTATAACGTGGTATCAGTATTATGCTGAATAATTAAACGCACAATAGAAATAGAGTATAAGGCAAATACACTATAAGAATTAGATTTTTGAGATAAATTTTATTATGGCGATGCATGTATTTCAACACTTCACCACAATAAATGGAGTCTTAAAAAGTCTTTGTGATGACAACAAGTCTTCTTAAATAATGTTTATAGCAGTAAATAAATCTTTTATGATAGTTTTACATCCACAAATCTTTTTTTTTTTTTTCTCCCGAACATGTTTTTTGTTATATATGCATATGTTAAAGGACATAAAGATCAATAATATATATTTCAACACACATAATTAACTTTTAATTCATTTTTTCTTTCAATTTTAGAGGGATAAATTTTGATGAATTGGAAGGGAGACTAATCCATTGACTTTTCTATCCTTCTTCTTTTCCTTTCTTTCCTTACCAAACATAATATTTATATTTCCTTACAATATTTCATCATTCTAATTTTCTATCCTTCTATGTTTTTATTTGCCAAAAGTAGAACTTACGTATGTTAAAGATGGGAAAGAAAAGAATCAATTTTCCGATTTATCTTGGAATAATATCAATTGTTAGTATGCTTTGGTGATATACACTAGCATTGCGTGTTTGAGGGTTTAAAACTTTAAATAGGTGGAGAAGAGGGAAGGATGCTTGGACAAATGCTTGATTCTTCTGATTACATATATGCAAGTTGGGCTCTTTTTTTTTAAGCGACATCTATGTGTGAATAGAATGAGAGAAATAGAACCAAAGCATATGAGAGCATATTTGACTTTACGTATTATTAGTTGCTTACCACGGGTATTGCACGCAAAAAATGAAAGGAATAATTTTTTTTTTTGGAATCACTAAAAGGACATGATGTGTGTGTGTATAAATAGGTGTCTAGGTGAAATGTCTTCTCATAGTTTTGTCATAAATACCATGCTATGTAATTAAGAAATTACAAGGTAAATTTAATCATAAGCAAAAGATATGAACACAAATAGCGAAACGTTTTGTTTCTTTAAAAAAATTGGATTGCAATTGAACATTATACTAAGGCTAAAAGATTAAGGCCCTGTTTGATTTGCATATCAAAAATTATTTTTTATTTTTGAAAGCAGTTTCTAAAAGAAAAGTTGTTTAACTAGTTATTTTTTGTTTTTGTTTTTTAAAAATTGAGAACAAAAATTGGATAGATTTAGAGAACAAGTTAGATCTGTTTTATGTGTTCTAGAACTGTTTTTGAAATCATATAACTAAATAAGTTCTGCAACACAAAAAACACCAAAAATAATTTTTTAAAACTCTTCCCAAAAATAGTTTTCGAATACTGTTTTTCAAGACGAAAGCCAAAGAAGGCCTAAATGATTTTACACTTTTAGAAGGGCCTACATTGAATTTCAACAATACTATTCAAAATGAGAGCAATTTTAAGAAAAACTTATGCAACTAATTTTCGTTCCTAGATATATATGTATGTATTCATGAGTATGTAAAACTTATATTGACATTACATTGTTAATCGAGAAATTAATAATAAGAATACAAGCGAAAATTTTAGATGACAGGGGTGTGTCTTTGGAGTTATGACAATGTATATATATAGAGTATAAATAATTTTTTTCTAAACAACAACAGAGTCACAAAAAGGTGCAAAAGTTTTTTTAATTTTTTTTTATTTTTAATATCATGACAATTGGTATAAATTGGCTTATGAGAAAGTAAGACCAATAAAATTACAGTCCATAGGAAGTACATGAGTCAGAAAAAAAGAAAAGAAAAGAAAACAATTTTAGTAAATTAGTTGCATGATAGGTTAGTAACAGTTAAATATCATATTTGAGTAGAAACAGTTGATATGGATGAATAGTTCAAAGATACATGATACTCACGATGTGCAATTCTAAAAGTAGATGTATTGCATGCTTCATCAGTAAAGATTAAATAGAAAATTGAGGAAAAAATTGTACACGAATGAAACATAACTACATACCAATATATCATGAGATAAGGCAGTAAGAATAAGGATTAGTTAAGGTGAGAGAAGTAGTTTTTTTTTATCCAAGAGAGATGTAGTTCAATGCAAGGCTTGGATTAATTGAACTTTTCTGATTTTTGAAGTTTTTTTTCTTTTTCATGCTAGGTATTTTTACGCGATACACAACATAACATATCGCCTAATTTAAAAAAAAAAAAATGTCGCCTAATTTAGTCACTGTTAATAAGATTTGGTTATTTTTTTAGGATAAATTACACTTACACACCTAAACTATCATTTTTTTTGTTGCTTTGTCCTCTCAACTGTTAAATTTTTTATATTATACCCTCAACTAACAATTTTGTTTCACATTATCTCAATTACAAATGTCTGTTATCTTTTTCGACGAAAATCACTAACGTGTCAGGGATAAAGTGAAAAAAATTACATAGTTTAAAGGACAAAATAAAATAAGTTTCTGTTAAATATGTAACAAACATTAATAAGTAGAGCACTATGAAAATAATGACATCGTTGAGGGTTCAATGTGAGAAATCTGGAAGTTGAGAGAATAAAGTGGAAAAAGGGGGATAGTTTAGGGGTGTAAGCCCAGTTTATCCCATTTTTAAGGGGTAAATTACACTTTACCCTATGCACTATTATCCTTGTTTCACTTTACACCCTCAACGACAAAATTTTTCACATTACACCTTAAAATATAAATTTTGTTTCATATCAATCCAATTGATAACGAATGTCAATTTTTTGACGGTAAATACGCATGCAAGTTGCCTGTATTGCTAATAAGCAAATGCTTATTACACATGTGTAGGTCAAAAATTAAGAAAAATACTGATCCATGACTTTGCCCTTTTTAAGTTTCAAATTTTCTTACTTTGGTCAATTTTCTTTTTCTTCCTAGCAACCATTTGGTTGCATAAGAGGCAAAATAAAAGTGGAACTAGGCACTTTGCGAGAAGTTCTTTTGAGTTTTTCTTCTTCTTCTTTTTAAAGATTTTCAAGTTTGTCGTTATCTATTGGAATGATATGAAATAAAATTAATATTTTAGGGTATAATAGTTAAGGGTACAAAGTGAAACAAGGATAATAATTTAGGGGTTAAAGTGTAATTTACTCATTTTTAAGTCAAATATTTTTTTCAAGTGTAAATTACATTTTGTTCTCTTGAACTATTATCTTTGTTTCACTTTGTACCATTAACTATAAAATTTCTTACATTGAATCCTAAAATATTAATTTTATTTCATATCACTTCAATAAATAATGACTATTAATTTTTTGACAGTAAACGTGCATGTAAGTGGTCTGTACTGTCAATAAGCAATTACCTTTTGCACATGCGCTGGTCAAAAATCAAGAAAATTATCCATCAATGACTTTGTCCTGTTTAAGTTCCAAATTTTTTTTCTCTGGCCTATCTTCTTTTTCTTTCCAAAAATCATTTGGTTGCAAAAGAGGTAAAATACAGTGGTACTAGGGACTTGACAAGAAGTTTTTTGGGGTTTCTCTCCCTTCTTTGATAGATTTTAAGTTTATCGTTATCTATTGGAGTAATATAAAACAAAATTGATATTTTATGGTGCAAAGTAAAAAAATTTATAGTTGAGGGTGCAAAGGGATAAAGTGTAATTTGCTCTTTTTTCAATTACCAAACCAATTATTTCTGCCATGTTTCATTTTTCTACTCCCCAAAAAATACACAAACTGATGATCTCTTGACTTTCTATTATCTCACAAAATACAAAACACACAAGAAAATTTTGATGCACAACAATTACACCAAGCTTTTGCACATAATTAATTTTCAGGATTATTTTTGTGCTACTGTACAAGGACATCATACCCTTGCCTAAAATGAATCATGCCCAACCACCTGGCTTGAAAATTTAATCTCTTCACCTATTAGCTTTTGACAGCAACCTCCAATGGGGTGGGTAAGCAAACTCAGGCAAGTTTAGGTAGCAGTAAGAGAATCCAGGACTCTCCTGAAGTTTCTCCTGCTTTCTTCTTTATAGCATTCACCTCATCAACTGGACTGCAAAATTTATTGGAAGCAAGCCAGACATGTTAGATATCCCCACTGTGCACAGTTATCTGAAACAACACATTGAACAATCTCTCTTTGGCTCCATTTTTCTCATGAAACCAGGAACCTTCACTGTCAATTATGGTGAAAGTAAAGAAGCACAAGCACTGGCTTGGAAGTTCACCTATGCAAAGATGGAAGATTAACCTTAACCTTAACAAAGAGCCACAAAATTTTTGTTTACCTCGCTGTTTAGGATGTGTCAAATGACCAGTAACTTCAAATGTTGGGGATATGCAGCAATAGACACTATAGTTGAAAACATCTGAGCACTCTGTGGCCTAAAGCACCTGCTTGACGAACATAATCCATGATCCAAATCTGCTCTAGATGTCTCCCATTACCTGAAAGACCATATTCGCATAGGATGGAGAGGAAGCAGAACAGGAACAGAGAGATTTGGACCCAAGTAGGACAAGCAATTTTCGTAACAGGCCATTTCGGAAATTCATCTAAAAGGTTGCAACAAGAGGACTTCCTAGGGGTCATTCATCATAGTATTACTCTCGCATAGTATTACTCTCACTCAAGTATGCTTAACTATAGAGTTTGATAGGATTCAATGCAGTACTGCTGGTCTGATTTCAACAGAAGCAGGCCATTTCAAAGATTAGAAGAATAACATCCACAAAGGATAGCAAGTTACTTCTTGTTTTCTGAATGAGTCAAGTCTTTATAAACATCAAGCAAGGGAAATGTTTTGCTAAGACGTCTGAACGACACTTCTGAAATTACATGCATTGCAAGGAGGGAATTTGCCAAGTCCATAGCCTCAGCTCTCCATCCTGCAAACCCAATCCCCTCGACTAATAGTATGTAAGTGGTTTCATTTGGCCGGCAGCCTTTTTCCACCATTTCTGCAAGCACTCCAATTGCATCATCAATTCTGTGAGCTTTGCATAATCCGAGAAGCACTATATTGTAAGTTATAACTGTTGGAGTGAAGCCACCACTGTCCATGTCCCCCAACAATCCAATCGCCTCATCAACCATACCGTCTCTGCACAAACATGATATTAGTGAATTATAAGTGATATCATCGGGATCAATTCCTTTGTTTATCATCTCAGAAACCACTCTCAAGGCCCTAGTTCTGTCCCCATTATTCCACAAAGCACTGATTGTTGTGTTGTAAGTACTCACATCCGGAGGAACCCCCATTTCACCAAGTTTCTCAAAAACTTCCAAAGCCTGATCAGTATTTCCAGTCTTGAACATAGCAGACAAGATTGTGTTGTAGTTCACAATATCCGGTAAGCAACCACTAGAGATCATGTAATCGAGGAAGGCAATCGCCAAATCTATTCTTCCCTCTTTGCAAAGGGCAGAAATCAATGGATCATAGGTATAAGTGTCAGGAGTTAAACCCTTTTCCATCATAAGCTTCAATACATCAATAGCCTCATCCAAGTTTCCATCCCGGCACAAAGCACATATTAAGATGCTGTAAGTAACAACATTACGCTCACAGCCTCTGGATAACATCTCTGTCAATAGCCTCTCCCCATCACTCCACTTGCCCTGATTCAGCAGTGCCCTTAACAAGATATTGTAAGAGATCACATCAGGTTTGCAGCCCTTATTAGGCAAACTCGAAACAAACTCAAAAGCCTGATTCATCATTTCTTCTCTGCACATTCCCCTAATGATTGCATTGTAAGTATACATATCAGGTTGAAGCCCTCTTGACAACATCTTATCTAAAAGCTTCATTGCTTCATTAATCCCACCTTCGAGAATCGTTGCTTCTATCAGAATGGTGTAAGTAATCACTGTTGGTTCACAATTATCTTCCAATAACTGATCAAGCATTTTCAATGCCAATCCCAACTTCCTCCTACTACAAAGACTCCCTATCATTATGTTATATGTAACCACATCAGGCGAAAAGCCTCGGGCTCTCATCCGATCCAACACTTGGTTTGCCGATTCAATTAGATTCAATTTGCAGAAGCCACTGATGAGGGCATTGTAAGCAAACACATCTGGTTCACCATATGACTCCAAAATTTGCATGACTTTAACAGGTTTTTCGGTATTTTTTGAACTGAAAAAGCCTTTAATGAGCTTTGTGCAAAGAATGACATCTGGTTTGTAACCCTTATTCACCATACATTCAAGAAAATAAAATGACTCATTGTAATTGCCTGCTTTGCAGGATCTGTTGAGCAGTTTCACTAAATGGGGGTCCTTAAAGTCATAAGAATGCAAATGGGCTGGCCTTGTTTCATGGAAAACCTTAGGCTTTTGTGGATTTTTAGACTTAATTTTGTTCTGGTTAGGACTTCTACATCTCACAAGTGGACTGTGATGAGAATATGATGTGGGTTTCAACTGGGTACCAAAGGGAAGGCACTGGGGAGAGAACTCAGCAGAAAATATAGTCATTGGTTACTGGATTTATGTTTTTCAGTGCTCATGGAAAATCATTTGAGAGAGAGAGAGAGAGAGAGAGAGAGGACCTGTTATTCTGCAGGACAACACGGGGGTAGAAGAAAGTTGGCAATTGCACTACTGGAGTTCTTCAGTCCATAACCCGAAAATACAATATACATTCCCGGGAGATATCAGCAAATCTAAAATGTTTTAGATAAGGTCACACATGGTTCACTAGTTGGGTATCGGCACCATGTTGGATAAGATAGGGAGTGAGGTCTTACTTTTTTTTGGGAAAATGATATTTAGATCTTATAGTTAGAATTAGTAGCAGTCCTAATCAATAGTAGAGTTCACTATTTTTTCTTTGGATCACTATTCATACAGGAGAGGAGGGCACGGAAAGAGTCGAACCTTGCAGGAGACAAGGATAAAAAGATACTAACCATTAAGTCATTCCTGTGTTCGAAGTTCATTATCAATCAAATAATATAGAGTGATTATATTAACAAATAAGATCAATAAATTAGATTTAACTAACATTGCTCCCTTTTATTTCTTACTTTTTCTAATTGTGTACAAAGGAATAGTTCAAAAAATAAAGTATTTAACTGACAAATTGTGCGTTTCAAAGTTTGTATTCATGTACAATTTTGAATGTATTTATCAAACTAATATAATTTTTAAAGTATATTTACCACACTTTTATTAAATAAGTATTTTATAAACACACTGTTGTATGATAGAATCAACTTTAGTGTTTTCAGATTTTAACTAAAAAGGGTGTTTATAAAAAGATTAAGTTAACCATAAAAAATGTATATTTCTCATGTTAAGTATTAGTTATTTATGCTGTATTTTGAAATAAATATAATTAAATTATCAAAAATTTTAACTTGATGCCTGTTCTATGTTTGTTTGCTATTTGTTAGGCGCTTGGAAGAAATTGACTATTTTGGTGTAATGTGAAGTAAGCAAACAACTAAGAAAGAGATCTGGGAATTGGAAGATGGATAGAATGTATGGTGTGTTCGGACGTACTGTTTATTCGTCTAGATGCACCTCAATTGCAGAACATGAAAAGAGAAGAAGTAAATCTAGATAGAAAATAATCTATGTTCGGATGCATGTCAAAAGTTCAGATTGTTTACATCAATTTAATAAAAGTTCTAATATGATTCAATTAATCCTGGATATAAATATACAACTTAGGAATGTGTTAGAGAGAAAAAAAAAACTTTTATTCTCTCATTGATTTTGAGTTCTTTAGCCTTAAAATCCTTCATCTGATTCTTCTTTTTCTTCTTCCTTTAAGCTCTTTATTGTTATGGATTGCTAAACTCCTAGTTAAAGTCAGAGGTGATACGTTTAATGAAATACAATATTTATTCTTGATCCTTATATGTTTTTTGATGCGTAATTCTTTTTTTATTATTTCTTATGGTTAAAAAAGTTTTTGTTTAGTATAATTTTTTGATTTGTTGTTTCCAAAGGTACATCAAATGCTTAGAATTTTGTTCGATTCAAATAACTAGTTTTGTATAATTTGGATCAATTAATTATAATATTTATTATAAATAGTTGATCTTGTTTCTTATATTTAGAAAAGAGGTTTTGGTTGTTGAAAACCTTGATTTATTTTCAACTCCGAACACATTAAATGCTTGAGATTCACATTCAAATAACAATTCTTACATGGGTTAATGCATCAATTATACTTTTAAATTTGTTTTCTATATCATCAGCACTATATCTTTCGATTGACATCAATCCTTAGTTCATTTTCAATTGAGTTATAAATTTGGTCAATAATAGACTTTGTATTTTTGTTAAAACTGGATCCCCGATGATTTAGTGTGTCTCAATATTATTTTAAACCGTTGAATTTTCTTTTTTCTCAACAATCAAATCAATCTACTCTCTAATCAATTTTTAGTTTCATATTGTTCTTGGTTCTACCATTTCCCATTGATCAACTTTGGACTCCTGCATATATATTACTTTACGACAACTTGCACTTGGATTTTTCACTCTTGAAGTTATAGCAATGTCGGGGAGTTGTGTTCGAAATAGGGAGCACCACATCGCCATCTTCATTAAGGTTTGATTGGTTTTGCGATTCGTTTCAAATTGGATAAACTCGTTTATTTTCTTTAGTGATTTTTTTCTCTACCTCTAACCCTTCTTTTTATTTTTTTTATGCACTCATGGCTCTGTGACCAAGGAGGGTGTTTAGTTAAGGTAGATTTAGATACTCTTTTTGGTAGTTTATTTGATTCTCATTTTCACTCTCACACACTTAACACAATGATTGGTGATGATAGTGATTACAGGGAGAATGAATTTCATAACAATCCACCCATGCAGACTTTGTGTGAATATAGGCAAGCCCCTCGTCATAGTTTTCCCTCATGCATTATTTTTTCTCTACAAGCCATTAGTTTCATTTTCAAATCAGGTATGATTCCATTGCTTCCAAATTTCACGGCTTAGAGTCTGATAACCTTTATTTACACATAAAAGATTTTAATGAAGTTTGTGCCACTTTTCATGACCAAACTTGCACCGAAGATGTGATTAGGTTAGAATTTTTTCCATTTTTCCTCAAGGATAACGTCAAGACTTGACTTAACTTTTTGAAAACAAGTTTGATAGACACATGACAAGAGATGCAAATGGAATTTTTGAAGAAATTTTTCACAATGTATACAACTAATGCTTTGAAAAAGTATATCATGATTTTTCTAAAAAAGACAATGAAACATTTTATCAATGTTGGGAGTGTTTATGGCCATGAAAGTTGGCGCACCATAAACTTTTTCTATAAAGGTTTAACTCCCCAAATGTGCTAATTCATAGATATGATATGCAATGGTGAATTTTTGAATAAAAACTCCAATGAAGCGTTTGATTATTTTGACCAACTAGCTGAGATTGCCCAAACTTGGGACACCACTACCCCTCCCAAGAGCACATCTAAGATTAAGCTTTCTGTGGCATCATCTAGTGGAGACAAGTATCACCTTAGAGAGGAGGATGAACTTAGTGCTAGGATAGCTAACTTGACTAGAAAGGTTGAAGTCGTGAAATTGAGTAAAGTCAACAAAGTCAAATCCATACAACAAGAGTAACTTTATGGAATTTGTGAGATCATGAGACACCCGACACATGAGTGTCCAACTATTCCCACTTTCAAAAAAATGTTGCATGATCAAGAAAATGTCTTGAACGATTTTGAAAAACCTTTCCCATCCCCATATTCTGAGACATATAATATAGGATGGAGAAATCATTATAATTTAAGTTGGAAGAATGATAATTATGCATCACCACCCCCCTCCTCAAGGATCTTCAAATTTTATTTCTTATAATCTATCACCTAAGAAGTCTCTTCAGGACTCCTTACAAACCTTCATGAAAGTCAAGCAACCATTAATAACCAAATATTGCAAGCTATCAATTATATTATAAACACTTTCACAAAATAGATCATTTCACTGAGCCAACAAGAGAAAGGTAAGTTTCCCTCTTAACCACAACCAAATCTACAAATTCAATTTAGTGTGAGTGAACCCAGTTCATCAGATACTCAACTTAAGCATGGAAGTCTATTACTACTCTTCGAAGCAAAAATTGTTGATAAATCTATTCCAATGAAGGACCACAAGCTTGAGGAATATTCCAAATCTTAGAGTAATGATGAACTTGACAAGCCTGAGTTAAGTAAATCTTTGAGATGTCCTATTTCCGCTCCATTCCCCCAAAGATTGAGATCACCTCAAAAGTCATATTTAAACTCTTGAATTCTTGATGTTTTCAAGTAAGTGAAAACCAATATCCTTTTGTTGGATGCAATCAATCAATTTCTTCTTATGCTAAATTTTTGAAAGATTTGTGTACAATTCAGTGTAAGCTATAATATAAAAAAAAAAGTGTTTATACAAAAACAAGTGAGTGCTATCATTCATCACAATGCACCACCTAAGTTTAAGGATCCCGATTTTCCTACAATTTCTTGTGTCATTTTGAACTTTATGATAGAGCAAGCTTTGCTTGACCTTGGGGTTAGTTTGAAACTTCTACCTTACACAGTTTATGAACATTTTTGTTTAGGTGAGTTTAAGCCAAACTCTATAAGACTTCAACCCGAGGGGAATATTAGGGAATGTGTTAGGTCAAATTGATAAGTTTTACTTTCTGAATGATTTCAGTGTCTTGCACACACACCCTGATTTGAATGCATGCACTCAAATTCCTATTATCTTAGGTCATCCATTCCTTGCAACTTTAAATGCTCTAATTTTGTAGAAATAGTGTAATGAATCTTTCTTTTGGCAATATGGCATTGGAGTTGAATATTTTGAATGGTTGCAAACAACCAATAATGATGAATTTGAGGTTAACGAAGTGGATGTGGTCGATACTATAGTGCAAGATAAATTTGATTTGTCATCTTTTTTGGATCATTTACAAGCTTGCTTGATTGATTCTTGTGAAGCTAAGTGTGATGAAGATTCTGAAATTCGATACTATAACTATTCGTTAAATTCTTCACATGAGCTAGAGGTTAATGAATGGAGACCAAAATTTGAGGAGTTGCTACCACATGGAAAGGTCACGCCATTATTAGTGGGTGGTAATGGATCCAACTTTGAATTAAAGCCTGATTGTCTTGACTTGGCTTTGTTATAAATTATTAGTTACGTCATAGTTTAGTTTTTATTTTATTCTATTTCCTTTCATTTTTTTAGTTGCTCACACTCTTCAGTTTTTTGCTTTGAAGACTTTCTTTTGCGTCACTTAAGGTGATATCTATCCCTCTTTTTATTTTTCTCTCTCGTGATTTCTCTTGCATCTTAAAAATTGAGGATAATGTACAATTTAGGTTTTTTTTTTTTTTGGGGGGGGGGGGGGGGAGTATAGAGATTCTTCTAGTTAGAGTTTGCATAGTTAGTAGTGTTCATTCAAACAAAAAAAAATCATAATTCCTTTGCAACGGTGGAAGTTTTCTTCCTACAATTCAATGCTTTGAATGATGGAACATCTGCCATGTAGCTTCGATGTTTTACCAAATTATTTACTT